TCAAGCCTCGGATCCGCACATCTATTCCATCCTCTGTAAAAGCCAAAATGAGGAAAAAAGCGTTGCTTTATGTTCAGTGCAAAAGCTCCTGCAAAAGCATTCAAACAGAAATCAGCTAGTTTGACACAAAAACATAAAAATTCTGACCTCTACATTCCTCGATCCGAATTTCTATAACTGGTAAATGGGAAGTCATATCCTCAAGCACACACACTTCTCCTATCAGATTACTAGAAACATAAAAGTAAAAGTACATAAATGTAGAATATAAACTGTAATCAGTATGCATTCATTTTTGAACTTTTTTTTTTGTTAAATTGCAAACTGTAGCAATAATCTCGTTTGACAAAACTTACTCATCTATGGTGACGTCACTTAGCTTCTTTAGGTTGTCTCCTTCTCCTCCAAACACTGTGACTCTTTTGGGCATGTAGTTATCATCCGTTGAGTCCACAGTCAGTATCAGCTTACTAGTAAACAAAACAGGCAATAAATAAAATATTGAGACCTCAGCAGCTTATCAGTGAAACAAAAAGAGACATAAAGTGCTTCACATTTTTAAATGTCTAATATAGCAACTCTACGTGATGATTACACCATCATAGGGATAGTGCAAAATTTGGGTATAATACCCAGATCAGTTGTTGTCAAACTTCTTACTTTAGAACCCAAAAACATTATATTCATACCATTATATATACTAATATTAATATATACATTACACCACAAGGCAAAAAACTGCATGTGGCACAGTTTACATTACAGTTTATCTTAATGATCTTGTTGTCATAGTCACTGCACTGTCCAAGCCTTTGACTTTATTTTTACTATTCTTTACTATTACTCAATTTTTGTGTTTCCTTACTTGACCACAGTGCCTTTCTTCATGTGCAGGCGGATCCAGTGTTGGCCCTGCATGCCGTCGCTCTCCCAGTAAGTTTCAACATCGCCATCTGTCAGGCAACTCGCCCCCCCGCTGGGATCTTCCTGTAAGCAAATATCAAGGTTTGATGAATGGACCGAATTCATAAACAAACCCATTTTAAATTCATAAATACATACATATTTGTCATACCCACAAATAATTACATGCATGTTATACTAGACTGTCTATCATGATGGTCACTGGGTCAAATTAAAGTCATAAAAACTTCTCAGATCAATCTAGTTTCCTTTCACTGCATTTTTGATGTCATCAGGAAAGAGGTCCAATGTAACTCCACCGAGAACGCCAATCCATGTTTTGCCAACGTTAAAAAGAAAAGAAAACAAACCTTACGGACTAGTTACTAGTATTCTATTTACCTTAACATGACATCACAAACTACAATCCTCATTTTCTTTTTTTTATACTTAGAAAGATTTAGACTGTTTGAAATGAGATTTAAAGTCAGTCGATGCGAGTTTCATTTGTGACGAGGGCTTAATTTTGCTCACCGAGCATGAAGACACATCGATGCTGGTCACACACTGCTTCACACTCCCCAAGTTCTCGTCCTCTTTTCCTATGTGATCGTAGAAGTAATGCACGAGGTCCTCATCACATTCATATGTCCAAGTAGGAGGAACATACCTGAAACAGTTCAACTGAGCATTAATTGCATTCATTTTAAAATCTGCTGCACCAGAAAACTCAACTTTCCATTTTAACTTTGCACAGACGGACTCACCTCAGCTTCTGGATGGCAGCCTCATCACACTCTGCGATTTTGGGTTTCTCGCCAATGTAAAGTGCATTCTCCACATCCACCACTTGTTCCCACCTGTTGCAGGGCTTGTGGTCGTAGCCAAAGAGCTGCTGCTGCCTAGTGACAGTCTCTGGTGACTCCACGGGTACCAGCCTGTCGCCTCCCTCGGTGTGTTTACACACGAGGATCCAGCCTTCCTCCAAATCTTGGCCCGGACGGTGCTCCTCCAGCTGCTCCTGGGGACAGCCACGGATCAACTGGTCAACATTTGCTTTCTTACCAAATGTACAATAATTGAGAACACACAAATCAACCTATAATACCTTTTTCGAGTTCCATATTTTAAATTTTGTGTCACAGCTCATAAAAAATTCTTATTTATCTTGTATACAAAGTTCATCCACTTTCTGAAAAATCCATATTTCACTCCACCCTTGTTACCTTTAAGCCAACTGTTTTCCTGAATGGCTTGCCCTTTTGCAACCAGAGGGTTTAAACAGCAGGTATGAGGAGCTGCATGTCTGAGATGACATTAGGGATATCAGCTTTCTATGACCTCATACAGAGCCAAGAGCTGAAAAACTGTCTGAAATAGTTTTATTTGATGCCAAACACAGGAATACAATTCCTGTGTTTGGCTTACATGAATTATTTGTATGTAACAAAACCCATTATTTCTAACTTTAACCACAATAGACATGTGCACCATTATTGTGCAATATACACTGCAATAATTATAATCAAGATTAATCTATTTTTGCTGTAATAAAATGTGGCAAAAATATATAAACCTCTCTCTTTCTAACTCAGTTGCTCGAGCTTATATTCATGATTCATCATTTTACAGAGCTCTTATTGATAGTGACAAGATCACCTGTTTTTCTGAGATTACCAGTTAAACCTAATGCATATCTTTGGATGAAAATCACTGCAGACATGAGAAGATCCTAATATGATATCACAAACTGAAATCTTCAGTCTTGCCTTTCATTCAGAAAAAACATTTGATATAAGAACTGGAATCAGTTAATGTGAGTTTCATTTGTAAAGATGGTCAAATTTCACTACTATGTACCTAATATGTTACTTTGCAGCTCAATACTTTTATTCTTTGACCCTTTTAGAGCTGTGTTATACTGAGCCTTAGCAAAGCCACTCAGTTCATCCACTGTCTGAAACTGTCTGAGTGCTTTTAGGCTCACTGGATTATTGGACCTCATTATTTAATGTGAGCATCCACCACTGTAACAGTATGTAAAGTGTATGTAAACAAAGGGTTATTGTTGTTTCAAGCAGCACAAAGACTTTTACTGATGTCACTGCATCCAAGGGGAAGTAACAGCGTCTTACCTTATTCATTTTGACCCAAAGGCCCTGGCTATTACAGTACTCCTCCCCTGTTGTCCGGATGCATGTCCCTTTCTTTGGTTCAATGTTGTACTTGCATGCTTTCTTACTGTGGGCAGTCTGATGGGGGCTTTCGAAGACAGAGACTATGGTTTTTCCCACGGTGGAGCCTCCCGCAGAGGCACCGGAGGAGGAAGCGGATGAGCTGGAAGATGAATCCTTGCAGATTTTGTAGCACACTTCTTTGGGGACATAACACAGACACTCGGGCACCGGTTCGCTCCTCCTGAAAGTTTCGATGCACCTGTTCAGGAAGCGGATCCTGCCGAGCAGCAGGTGAGGGTTGTCGCCCATCGTGAAGGTGGCAGTCAGTAGCTCAGCAGTAGCAGGAGCTCATCGGCTGACATTACACCGCTTTTGTTTTCCTGCGTGGCTGCGCAGGGATGCTCCTGTCAAACCAAACAAAACCCAACTTTCTTTAGAAACTTTGGCTTCGTTTAAAATATCGATTAATTAAACTGGCTCCTAGCTCTCCTAATAAAATCTGAACACTGTTTGAAATGCTAGGAATTCGCTAATCAGCAGGCAAAGTTCCCTGACACAAATATCACCTCCTCCCATTAGGTAAAAGTGAGAGCGCTAACATTAGCATGCTACCAGGGTGTTCAGTAAACGAGTCCATCCCTCACCGCAGCTGTCATCAACAACCCTGGCGGCCAGCTAGGCTCATATTTAACAAAACTTCACGGGACATGAACATTTCACGGAGTAAGAAGTGTGGTCAATTCTTAAAAACAGTAGATACCAACGTACCTGCTGACAAGTGTCCCGCACCCTGTTACAGATTCTATGGTTTTCTGACAACACGGAAGAGCAAAGACTCTTCTGATCCTTCCGGCCTTCCGTCGCTGTTTCCTTTACAAAATAAAAGCTTCTCAGTCGAGTATTTAATTTTCTTAACTTTTGAAGGCTGAACTCCGAAAATAATTGCCAGAAAGTTCACATTTTTCGAACCCTGACTGTTTATCCAACCTTCCAACACAACTTTAAAAAAAAGAAATTAAAAATAAATCTGCATGGATGAGTTTTAATTGGTATTTGCTACAGCCGGGATTTTTGCGAAATTCATTGATTAATATGTTTTTATAAAAACTCATAAAAACTCGTGTCAGATACGATTAAATACATTAGTGTGATCTAAGTGTAAAGAATAAACTGCAACTTTAATATCATTATTGTTAGTGTTGTTGTTGTTAAGGGAAATCACGTGGATTTATGTAAATACAGTTATAGCAAGGGAGGATTACTTACTGAACAAAGGCTTCAGACCTCCAAGGCTTTCACAATCAAAGGTTTACTATGGATTGAGTTAAATACACCTTTTTAATAGCATTAATCACATCTTACAGAGCCTGTGTGGAAGACAAACCTATTTCAGTATATTCAACAATCATAAACATTCATAATTTTCATTATACCGATAAAGTTTTCATTTATGAAAGACTTACAGTCATCAGGGTTTTACAGTGTTTTCAGTCACAGTGTTTTCTGCTTTGAAACACTTTAGCTCCCTCCAAAGAGTTTTTAGCCACTTAAAGTAAATTGCACAATAATGATAATAATAACATATTTTTCATCTGGAATTTTATTTACTCAAGAATATCAGACATTTTTTTTCTCATAATACATAGATTTCTGACAGATAGGATAAAATGGGTCTCTGACACAGTACTAAGCAAACAGGAGATCTAATAGTTAATAATTAAATAAATAATTAGTTTTGTGCTTAATTTCCAAAAATGTCTACAAATAAAATCTGAAAAGGATGAAATCTTATTGTAGTTCACAGTTTAAAACAAGCGAGACCTTTCAATGTCACATTTCCACCTCCCCAAAAAATGTTTTCAAACATTTTTTTGTCATGTTTACAATAAACGTTTTCAAAAACATGACAGCAAGTATCAATTAGTTGTGTTCAATTAAAACTTTAATTAGTCCCCTTTCTTGTTCTTTGTGAGTGATCACATCTATTTCCCTTTCATCATCCCCGTCTGCCTCGTTTGGGTTTGACGAGACTTCCTTCAGAGAAGAGAGGCTCCCACTGCGCAGGATGCCTTTACCCCACTGCAGAAGGCTGTTGAGCCCATCACTCACAGAGCCCTGAAGGTGCAAATGCTGTTTGTTCATAGGAGTGCCTCCAGGCTGGTGAATCTCTAGATCTTCAGCACTCATCCTGAAAACATGGAAGATACTTTAAACCCAAAGATGGCAGTGGTTGTGATTTATTTAGGAATGTAAAATCAAGCTATTACAACAAACTGTCCAGAATGGAAGTGTTAAATAAATTTTAAGTATAAAAATATACTTACATTTTCAAAATTGTAACTGAAAATTATGATATATTCCCATTATCATTATGTAATATTATCATTATTATTATATTATATTATCATTATCATATGGATTAAAATTTTTATAAAAAATGAAAAAGATTTTTGACAAGCTACAAAAAAAAAAAAGAAAAATCAAGATAATCATAGAAGGATTGATATATAATTCCAGTTCTACTTATAAATAGAGTTCACAAATATTTACATTTTGAATAAAATACACACACACATATATAACATAACATAACAAGATGAAAGAGGTGGCTTGGGTGAGGGAAGTCTGGGCTTCTCTGCTCAGGCCGCTGCCCCCGCTACCCGAACCCCATAAGGTTCGGGTAGGGTGGATGGATGGATGAATGGATGGATATACTCATATATCTTAAATTCCATCCCTCTCACTTTACCTCATGTCATAAGTGGAGCCTTTGAATGCTGGTCTGAGGCTCTCCGCTGCTGTCGACAGAGTGTAAGGGATGGAGAAGTGTCTCTGCATCCAGTGTTTGTCCTTCACCATTGGAGCCAGATTCTGGTACATGTCGTCCACAGCCAGCATTGACACCTGCGGGAGAAAGAAAGAGATTTAACATCTCATTCTAGGTTTCTAGTAGTCATAATTAGGGGGAATGTCTGAAGGGGAAAACCTGAAAGTTTCTGTCAATCAACTGGTTCGTTTCAAAGTCATCATCATCTTCGCCAAATGGATTGATGATCAGCTCTCCCACCTACAAAACAGAAACAGAAACTGGACAAGCAAACAGTGGGAAAAAAAACTGCATGCGTCAGTGCTTCAGCATGCCTTTCTCCATGCAGCTGTGATATTCAGTAAACATCTCAGTCTACTGTTCCCAACTGATGGGTCAGGGGCCTCCAATTGGTCACCAGATAACTTAGAGGGTTTATGAGTTGAACAAAGAAAGTTCGCATACATAAGCTTGGCGTAGTTGTATTAGTTATTCAAGTAAAACCAAAAGACAATCTTGATAGGAAATCTCTTTTTAGAACAGCAGCAACAAAGACCTCAGCATCACATCATTGTTATTTTTTTTACTTTTCAACTGCTGTGAACAACCAATTTATGCTCATAAGGTGTATTTTATGAGCTTATTGGATGTCTTTTTTTTTTTAAAGTAAAATCATACAAAACCACAATGTTAAAACTGTCACAAAAAATAAAAAGTACATATTTCCCTCTGAAATATGATAAGACTATATTATAGAGCCTGGAATGGAAGTGTGCACTTATACATGATGGTGCTGTGTTACCTTGAGCCAGCCAGTGTAAAAGAAGAACTGCAGCAGGGTAAAAACAGGGACGTACAAGTCCAGTCTGTGGTCCTTGTAACCTTTCTCGGGATTCAGGAATTGTCGGCCAATCACACAGAAGCCAAAAAATGAGTAAACTGCAATAGTTACTACCTACACAGAAAAAAAAAACAATGAGGTAGAAAATTAGGGGTTGCTAAGTACAGTTGTGTCTCAGAAGGTAGAATCATCTGGTGATTTATATGAAATTGATGAAATCTGACAAGCACATATGTTGTTGAAAAGAAACAGCAGAAAGGTTTTGTCATGTAAAAAAACACATTTTATGTAATGATCTAGGCAAAAAACCTGAACTGGTCATGAGTTAAAGAAGCATATCCATGTGCACCACTAATATGATTCAGGACAACAGCAACATTACATGCTGATGGTTGGTTTAATCTATAAAAAAATCTAAAAAGAATCCAAGTTTTATTTGATAATTCCTTAATATGTTCTAGATATAAAAATCTTTGAATGTATTTAGTTATGAATCAAGTCTATAGTGATGTACAGCACTTAAATGAATGGCTCATATTTCATTGGCTGATCGTACCTGAGTGTAGACCAGAGGGATGCTTATCCAGTCGTAGTGGAACAGCAGACTGCACTTTGCTCTGTAGTTATTGAGTTCCTGCAGATGTAGTACAGCAGTGGAGTTTACGCACACTTTAGAGCCATAGATTATTTGTAAGTCATAGAAAATGTGTAGGTCTGCTCTTGTTGCATTCTTTAGTAAACTCCTCACATCCATCAGCAGCCTCAGAGCTATGTCGTCCCTCACTCGGCCCTCCTCTCTCGCTCTGGACGCCAGGTTTGAAAACCACGTCAGAGGCATCCAGTACTTGTTGAAGTCAGAGTGCAGTGACTCAAACTTTTTCAGCTCCTCCAAGGTCATAAATCCTGCCCACGTATTAGACACACTTAGTTAACATGATATATGAAACCATTAAATTACTGACAGCAATTAAAGTGACTGCAATAAACTGAACTGCATAACACTGAAATGTTAGTATTAGGATTTTATTCACTTTAAAATACAATGAAGTAAATGTGTTTGAGTTTAGTTAAACTAAACAAGACTGAGAATCATGATGGCTGTTCTTTTTTTACCCCATTTTTTCCCCCGTTGTAACTGACAAAATACTTGTATCCCAAAAGCCCCACTGCCCAACTCAATCTTAATCACACATTTTTACTAAATGGACAAACTCCTTATCCCTGTGAGGTGTACAGTGGTATATTGTGACCTATAAAAACAATTCTCTTGGCTGAACTCTTCCCTGTTTTAGTGCTAAAAATATATATTTCTGTGTGTTTATAAGTATTTGATGTGTAGAAAAAACTTATTTCAGCATTATTTTGTAACTTATAACTAAGATTTGGTGAAGTAAAAAGATGCCTGCGAGAAGTACAAAAGGAAGAAGTCTTGAGTAATGAGCCCTTTATTTTTTCCTCAGTATTGTCTATATTGGAAGCACTCTGTCTTTCTTACTGGTACATTCAGCAATTATTATATGTCTGAATATGGTGCAAAAGGTACATTTGAGATTTTTAAAATTAACTCGACTTTTGATTAAGAACTGTTGCTCTCACCAGCCTCCACAATGTGGTCCAAAGTTGGGAACCGCTTGTGAACTCTTGTGCTAATGGAGCGGAGAATAAGGACTGAAGATAAATTGGCATATCTCATGAGGGTTCGTCTCAGCAGACGGCCCTTCTCATCAGTCCCGTGGACGTTCCCAGACACCACCATCATCAGGTTGTCAGGCAGTGGGAAGCTGGTGTACTGACCCCACCACCTATTAAAGGCCAAGGTCACATAGAAACCTAGAATAAAACAAAAAAAAGAGAGAAAGTTCATGCATATGATTTTTTTTTTAGTTCTTTAACTGCTGTATGATTCATTCTTACCAAGCACAAACAAAACAGGGATGTAGTTGGTGTTGGTGAACTGATCACAGTAAAGGGCGATACGCTCAAACAGATCCTGCTGCCTCCGTGTGAGGAGAAACCTGTGGAGCAAATTAAAATTGTCACTGCGAGACAAACAAGCAAAGCTAGGTAAGAGTAAGAGCGGTATGAAAATGTGAATTTACCTGTAAAACAAACTGAAAAACAAATAAACACTACAAAACACCAGTAACTCCTTGTAGAGCAGCCTGTAGATGCTTCCCTTCCACCTGAACAGGAGCCTGGAAAAGCCAGCAAACCTGGCATTGGCCACCTCAAGACTGTAGGAAACTGTCATGTTTAAGCACCAAATCCCTGAAAAGCATTAAAAGGCATTTAAATGTATGTTTAATAATTACATATACATAAAAGACTTTTTAAGACCTGTCCTACCTCCACCTGTGCTGAATCCTGTTGTCCTGAGAAAAAAGTTTCTTCCTCTGGGCCTGAATTTAAAGCTCTCTGTGGCGCTGTCATAAATTAACACCTTAGTTTTATTACTTGGGAACCTGCAGCCTAAGTGAAACACACCTACGGTTACAGACTGCATGAAAACATCTCTTTTTAAGCTCACATAACTGGTTTGAGTGATCAGCAATCAAGTTATTATTCAGTAAAACCTTCCAGTAAAAGTTATAATCTATAAGGTTCTCAGTCAACACAAAAGTGTTAATAATTATTGTGTTAATTCCTCCTGTTAGTGCTGAGCTGACTTAAATATTTTTAAAAAGTTAAATTATTCTTACAGCTGTCATTTATTCTAAAAAAAAAAAAGAAGATAAATAATAATTAATGATACACAAAAGCAAAAAACAAAACAAAAGACAAAAAAAATCTAGTGTTGTATCACATTAAGCAAACAGAAACACTAAATTATTACATGTCAGAGGCAGTTGGGCTTAAAAAATATATTTTATTTATATACAAATTATACATATACCTGTATAGGGCAGCAAGGTGTCATGGTGTTTAGCACTGTTAGCTCACAACAAGAAAGTCTGAATCCAGCATCTGTCCGAGGCCTTTCTATGTGGAGTTTGCAAGTCCAAAAACGTGAAGTTAGTGGGTTAGGTTAACTGGTGACTCTAAATGGCCCATAGGTGTGACTTTGAGTGTGAATGGTTGTCTGTCTCTCTGTGTTAGCCCTGTGACAGACGGATGACCTGTCCAGGGTGTACCCCGCCTCTCACCCCGTGCCAGCTCCAGTCCCCCCCTGACCCTGAAGTGGAGACGTGAAAGAGGATAGATGGATGGATAAGCTATATAAATTTAGATTTTTAATGAAACTTGTACGCAAACAATTGGACTGCAGCTTCTTCTAAACTATGTATGATTTATCACACTCAGGAATGCATTTTTTATAAGAGCAGACTTTATAATAATCGTGTATAATGTTACATAATGACGTCATTACAGCTCATATTGGATTGTAATCTCTGCAGGGGAATAGCTCTTTATATGACTTCTAAATATTTAGAATTGAGGATTTATTTTATGATCAAGACTGCCATCTGTTTTATAAATGTATCCATTTTATGTGCGTATTTGAGAGGATTATATCAGCTGTGTCAGTTTTACTGTTTGATGATGTATTTATTACTGTTATTGACTTGCTTCGTCTAGTTATCTGTAAGGCTGAATTACGTTTTAAAAAACTTGCATGTTAAATTTTAACATGCAAAAATTTAACATGCAAATGTTGTTGCACAATTGCACAAATCTGCTGTTGTTTTTTAATCATTTGTTCTCACATAATAAAAAATGTGGCGTTTTAAGCTATATGTAATACTATTCTGACTGCTGTATGTGCCTTTTCTTTTCAAATAAGGTTTACTTACATATGTAAAGTAGAAAGCAATATTTAAGTGAAAATGCACTGCACACTTTTTCTGTCGACATGCCTTTTTCTGATGTAACACAAATAAGTACTTTGGACCTGCTATCTCAGCATCCTGCCACAGAAAATCAAACAGAGCGCACACAGATTGATTGCTCAGCAGAGGCCGCTAGGTGCGTAGACTGTGTTATTTACTGGTGACTGTGATAGCAACAGTCTAAACATCAGAGCTGTCAGAGGTGTCCATCCCTCCAGTCTCCGTCCTTTGTAACTGGTTGCTGTGCTTAGCTCACTTGTTTGTTTTTCACATAGTTACAGCTCCTCACTGTAAATCAGACTCTTCTTTTCCAGCCCTGCTTTGGACACTGGTTCTGTTTGCTCACCTCTGAGTGGACATTTATGAGGCCATGTATCCTCCACTGGAGCCTGGATCAGCAATCACTGTGGACTTCCCCATTCCCAGCCTGAATCCGAGTCTCACAGTGTTTACATTTTTATTTGCACTGATTTTTGTTTTACTAGGAGATTTAAAAAAAATATATATATATCCACGCTATAAAAGAACTAATCTCAATTCCTGACACTAGGTGGCATTATTGTAATGTGCAGCATGGCTCTGAGCCTCAGCCCTTAGGCCTGTATTTACTTCATAAACAGAGACACCCAGAGGCTCCTTTATTGACAGAAAACAATCAAAGGAACATCTGACATATTTAACACTTTGTTTGCATTTTATGTCAAAACTCTCTCTTTATTACTGGTTCCAGAAATCTTAAAAGTCTTGCTTTTTACTTTGCTTCCCTCGTGAGTATCAAACTGACACACAATGGTTCGTCTGTGATCTTGATCTATAGATGAAACACACGCCCAGATTAGCATCCATGGATACTCAGACAACTGTTTCAGCCTAGTCATTTCCTGCCTTTGGCTACTGATTGTGGCTAAGATCTCTGAGAATGGCACTTCCATGCCGATCATTTTGGTAACCCAATGCTGTAATTACAACTTCCCACGGTGAGTGAAATTAGAGCTCAAAAGAGGGATTTCAGGTAGCTGGGGTCAGCCTGGGTCATTGCCAGGGCAGAAAGGGGAACAGAAAAAGATTAGGAGTCTGTTTTCAGAGATACTGAACACAAATACTTAAAGACAAGCTTTTATTTCTCTGTCAACAATATTAAAGTGTATACACAATCAACATAGTGCATCTTCCTGTATAAATGTGGTTAAAAAAATCAGTGCTTTTATTACATACAGTATTGCCATTTTACATCTGAATGATTACTAATGATTCAGCGATACTGAAGACGTTACGGAGTGTCAAATATGTAGCTAATGGCACAAAATCTGTCTGCAGCATTTGCAAAGTGTTAACATTACAGAGAATCAGGACACAATTTTGTCTCAGGCAGATATCTGACTCATTGTCAGTTTTACAGCATTTTTACTGAAAAAACAACAACAACGTTACACTTAGCCTGTCACCACAAAAACAAGCCAACGTAGTTTGTTTTTCTTTCCTTTACAACAGTAGCCTTTCTTAATGAAAGTAGACTGACTAATTATAAAAAACAAACAAACAACAAAAAATCCCAAGCCTTGACTTATATTTGACACTTTTAAGACATCTCAGGCTGTTTATCAACTGTTTTATGAATTGATAGTTTATTAGTTTTCTTTTTTCTTTTTTTTTAAAAATCTTTGTTCAAAGACAATAAAACATATACAATGATTTTGCTGGTCCGGACTTAAGATTAAACTAGCCTACATAGCCTATTAACTAAGATGTCTAACAGGCTTTTTAGGCTAACAAACAGTTTGTCAAACAAAGCTTGTTTATGTTAAAATGAAGGAGGGTTATAAAGTTTGATTACTTTTTTAAATATTCGGATTCCATGTATCCTATTATTTAATTTTGGCAATTTTAATTTCCCAGCAGGACTAAATTTAATCAAATTCAAATATATTTAGTCTAAATGTTACGGCCCTAGCAGGGCCTCCTTCTGAAGGTGCCTGTGTGGGCGTGTCCCACCACCTCTTCTGCCTGAGGTGCCACACTTCCCTTTTGTGCAGCTGACTCTCGTCAGTAATCAAGGAGATTTAAGCCCAGGGAAAGGTGATTTCTGGGCCAGAGTGCCATTAGTGTGGTTACAGCTTGTGAGCTGAGTGTTTTTGGTGGTTTTCAGCTAGTGAGCTTCATGTCCGTATTTGCAGTTAGTGAGCTGCTCTTTCTTTTTGGCTTACGTTTTACTTTATTGACAAAAGCCTGAGTTTTGTTTTCTTAAATGGTGATAGCGGCTTGTCCGTCTCTTTTAGTTGAGCTACTTTAATAAAGCTTTTTGATTTAACCCTCATGCCTCCTTGTCTCCTTTTTCTGACCCGGACACTTTTTGTTACTTCCCCCTCAACGCCTAGACCCCTCAGGGGAACGTAACACTAAAAAAAAAAAGTGTGCTTATTGAAATGTATTTGACACTAAGCAATAGCACAACACAAATGTCCAGTAATTTAGAATGTAATTTTAGAAACATGTAAACCTTTGGACTTGTAGGTATTTATACAGTCAAAAGTATAGTTAAGGTAGTGAAGTTTGAAAGTTGGCGCTTTTTTATGCCTCTTCCAAAATTTCAAAAGTTAGCATGTTTGCTAACTAGCAAGAAAATTAACCAAATATATGATTCATTTACAACTTTAGAATGTGGGTTTACAGGTTACAATAAAAAAAAAAAGGTTAATAGTACATTCACCGTAGCTTTCTACTGTTTTTAAATGCTAATCCTGAATGTTATCAGTGTGATTTAGCTAAAGTTATCTTATATATATCAAGCTTTGGCTAAACTTTAAACAAAACAAAACTGGAGAGACCACATCATAAGAGACTACTTCATTCATTCTAAATTAAAAACACACTGTTTCATATATGAGGTAATACGAGGTAAGGTTTACTTATTGCTAACTTTACATGTAGCCTTAGCCTCACTCTTTTTATGCATTTTTTGTATACACCAAATACATTTTTTTTAACATTAGTCATTTCAATTAATATTGAGAAACCATAGACAATATTTTATTTTTACCAGTTCATGAAGTAAGTTTATTATTAGCTAAAATTCATTTGAATCTCAGTGTTGCTTCAATGTAATTAGCAAAATAGTCAAAACAAATGTTTTTTTTTTTTTTATATATATATACAAGGACACATAAGAACGACAGTAAGTTAAAAAAAAACTAAAAAAAATGTTTATTAATTGAATCTAAATTATAGAATTTGATTTAAACTTTTAAAATGTGGTGAAATTCAGCAAAACTCTCTGTCACACGGGCTTAGGTGACTTAGGAACTGTACCAAAAACCTCCTTGTGATTGCTTTGGCTACTAGCAGGTTGCTAAAGTTTGCATTGAAGACAGACTTCACTGCAAACCCTTGCTATCCAACTACCAGTTGTTAGTGAAGATTGAAGAAG